TTGTGGTGGCGCTTGTGATGATTGTGGCGATCTGCAGCAGCTGTGGCACAGAATCTGCTCCGCTTTAGCCTACCCCCCAAAATGGAAGTTGATTATGTTGACCAACCCCAATGGGCAGGTTCCGGAATCCAAGTTAGCGAGCATCAGGATTTGTGAAAAACATTACCAACATTTGGTACGTAATAGTAACTGTCCCGTTAGAAGACTTCTGGAATATAGTTAACTGGGAAAGTATCAGAAGTCAACAACAATCAACCAACACAAATCTAGAAAAATAGCGAACGAAATGAGAAAGAATTAAAGGAACAATTTTGATAATGCGATCACGATTTGCAGTGGATTGTCATATCGTGAAATATGTAAACTCCGTTGATTGCCTCATATCAAGAAACGTGATCTGCGTGTGGCTTCAAGTATATAGCCCTTTAAAAACAAGGTTATGACACAAAAAATAGGGTAATTTCCTTTACATGCATACTGAAAATTTATTTTCCTCTACGAGTTTTTCTGCTTGTCCCCAAATTGCAACCAATAAAAAAGTTACGACAATTTATTTTAGTTTCGTACTTTTTCCATTAGCTCTTTTAAAATGTCGCCATCTATGTTGTTGATCTCAGGGGACAAACGTTCTTTCGTAAGGACAGTTACGTAACATGGGAATTTATCATTACGTAATTTAGCAATTATCTTGCTCTTTTCAATAATAATATTATCTCTGTTTGGTGAAAGAGCTTCTTTCTTGTTCAGGAGTTGCTGGTTTGTAATGTTCTCTAATTCCTGTACTCCCCTTTGTCTATTACATCATACTTGGGCACTAATTGCAAATAAAAATGTGGTGGCCTGCTAATTCGCCAACGGGAATATTTAATCGATAGCCTACTGGATTGTAAACTTGTTCAGTCTTAGCTATACTTTCTTTTAGGACTGGTAAAATATCAATATCTGCTCATTCTTGGGCAGCTAATTTTCTTAAATCATCAACATGCCTCTTGGTACGTACGTAACTATTACTATATGAGATTTGGAATTAGGTCGTGGATTATCAGAGGCAAGCATTGTTCCATAATCAGAAATAAAGCTTTTAAGCTGACCTCTTTCATAAAGGAAGTATTGTTTAATACAAGCCATGCAATTTTTTGTATTTTTACGACTGCAACAAATTCTGGAATAGCCATAAAACTTATTATTATTCAATAGAATTTTGTATTGGCTGTGGACAAGTAATGTCTTTAAATTCATCTCTGACAAATGGACGAATACTGTGATAAAGATATTCTTGTCCTTTGTAATCCAAAGATTTAATTTCTTGGGTAATTTAAGAAACACTTGCTTTTCTGTTTTTAACAAATTAAATTCAGCATAGTAATAAGCACCATTAGCTCTGACAACTCCAGCTTCAAAAAGAAAATGATAATGTTTTTGTAAGCCAGTCAATTTCTTAAAGAAAATTCCCAACACAGAATTAAGACCTAAGTATTGAAAACCTTTTCCTTTTTTATAACACTGAGTTTTATTTAAACCAACTGTACTTGATTTTTTCACGACCTCAACAATGCAATCTACTGTTGTCTTTCTATAGTGTTTTTTAATCAATCCAAAACTACCATCACCTTGAATTTAGTATGTCCAAGTATCATAAAATTTAATTCGATACTTTCATAATAGCCGCAAATTATTTTTATTCTGTCCTCCCGCATTATCGCAAGTAATCTTTAAATACTTTTCACCTTTATTCGATTTCTTAATTCCATCGAAAACCATGCTCAGTGTACCATTAAGACCTTTTCCTATAATTCGTCTTCATCAAGAACGTAATTAATTTGTTCGCGTACTGCCTCATCTTGAATACCAAATAAATGCACTTTACGTGGACTGAGATAATAAATCTTACTTACTCGTTGATCAGAATGCTCAATCGTAACCGTAATGAGCAGTAGCGTCAATGCTACAATAATCAGCTCTACCTCTTGTTTTGAAACGCTCATCTACCAATTTTCTCTGTTGTTCTGCTAATTTCGTACTTTTGCTGTAATAGTTTCTCTCTAATTTACTTAGCTTAACCAGATATTCTTTGTATTTTTTCAATAAGTATCTCCTTACTATTACGAGCGTTATATTGCAAACCGTTTCGAAAACGTTGACAAGTATCAAGGCGTTAGTTGGTGCCCCATAACTTGCGGTATGCGTCATATTTTAACAATTTCAACGTGCTATCGTTTTCGAGACCAATAAAATCACGATAGACCGACTTATAACTCGTTTCTGCTGGCAAAAGTGTAAGCGATTGAGTAATGCGATTGACATTTCTACCAGGACTTGGTAATCAGCATAATTTCTTCACGGCTTATATCAATGGTTATTTTGGTTTTCCATCGCGGCACTTTTTTTACATTAGCATGAACGCGCGATATTATACCTTTCGTCGCTAGGTGATTTCCAAATGAGTGCGACCAATACCCAACATATTTCTGACAAAGCGGCGTATTGCGATCTCAATAATAAAAAATTCTTTTATTAGTACGCGTTTTCTTTTTTAAACGTCGGCTGGTAACTATTTCTCCACCATTCATCGCTTTCAGCTGGGCCATTAAAAATATATCTTGTTCGGATCTAGAAAGAGCTTGAAACGCCTCACGTAATTCACCAAAATTTTCTCTTGGGATCTTTTTTGAACAACCACAATTACAACCGATATCCAAGAAACGCATTGCTTTTTCATATTCGTTATAATTATAATTTTTCATATACAGGTAATCCTATATATTAATTTTATCAAGTTATATTTTTATATAACATTACTTCGTACAGTGAGTAGAGAAGCGCGCATTTAATTAATTAATGTCACTTTTAGATATAGTATTCGGTCTTAATCGAACAATTACCGTAGTAAGGGCGGTAATACGAAGCTAAATCTGGTAACATCTCCCGGTCGGTTGAACACGCCTACGCGAAAGATAATAATTGCTCTCCCGAAACCCAGACCGTAACAATATATTGTAACCCATTATTATTATTATAAAGCTATAAGTAGTCAACTAGTGCATTCAATTATTTTCTTGCATATATGTATTAAATGTTGGCTAAGATTCATGGGACATACAGTATATAGCATAGCTGTGATTACATTTTAATTATGGTTATACAATTAATATGACCAAGCGATCGTAGAAATAAACATGATAGTTTAGAAAAAAGTTCAGGAATATTTCTTGGTCCGTCTTTTCTTATTTGCTTTAGTTTTCGGTTTTGCTGGTGTTCCAAGATCATCAATGGTTGGAATGTCATCCTTGCAAGTTGTGTGTAGTACACTGTTTCGAGTATCCTTGGCCTTCTTCAGCAAAGCTTGGATGATATCTGCAGAATGCTTCATTACGTTCTGTAAGAAAAAGGTATCATAACATGAATACTGGAATAGTAAATACACGAAGCTCCAGTGGCGTAACAGAACTTACTCGAATTTGGATAAAAAGGCGTATACATTCCACGACAGATGGCAGGGTGTCAATAGTGTCTGGTAATCGACAACGGCCAAATTCCGATACTGCAAATAAATTGCCACCAGTATTGTAGACCAAATGTGCTCGGATGGTTAAATTCACAAGGGTAATCCCGATCATGGGTACTGCTGATAACCCTTTTAGTAGCGTATTTGTCAGTGAGCCACCTGCCTCTTCCCGAATGATATTTTTCAATTCTTCCCACTGATCACGATTCCCTTTGAAAACCTTTGCTGCAGTTTTTTTTGGTTTTTTACCAGTCTCAGCATGATTTGGCCCAATATTCTCTGCAATGCCCATTTCAATTCCCCTCACTTCATTCGGGCGCAACAGAAAGCTCTGGAAAAGCAGAGTTCATGGATAAGTAAATGATGTTATTCACTGTAACAAGTCCATTTACCTACTGCAATCAGCCAATCATATTTATCCCCCCGTGGTGTCTTTTTAGACTCAATCTCTCGAAGTATGCGCTCTCTCCGAGCTCGGGATGCTCGACTTTCTGCCTCCCCGCTGTTGCCGGACATTCCTGGTCAAAAAACTGTTCTGTAAATCAGACTGTAATGAATCGAAGCGATACTTACTAATGGATCTGAACAAGGTTCCCTATTCGTAGCATTTCAAATAGCGATCTGTATATGTGTATATCTATGGTACGCTCTGACATCTTAGTGTGAAGAGCATCAGATTTCAAATATCGTATGCTATTCATAAATGCAAAGTGATATGTATTAGTGCAGTATATATGATCCAAGGATGATAGCCAATGTAATTACGTTTCATATAAACAAAATGAGAGTCCAATGATATCCTCATGACGGGCGAGTTCTTCTATCTTTTCGTTGGTAATAAGTAGGTCTTCTCCGAATTTTGCATCAGATTTACCAACTCGAATATCAGTCTCATCATCACTGTCTGCTAGTAATTCCTCTAAAGAAACCTGATCCGCATGCCGGTCTGTGACCAAGAATAAATTTCGAACTATCCCAATAGTTCCAACAACAGGGAATTCCTGGAGTTGAGACATCATCTGGCAAACAGACATGGACTAAGGCAAAGTAAATTGATCAGTCCTCATCATGGAGGAGCTGCTGATATTGCATACAACATACCTGTATCCTGTTCAGTATGACATTCGTTGTTTCATTTACATAAATCCCTCTTAGAATAATTTTTCGGGGCATGAGCATTTCTAGAGTCTCTTCTGTTACAAGCTCCTTGGCCCTCATGTGAGCAGCACCAACTCGTTTGGTATCCGAGCGAACATCCAATATCCTCCACCACATAGGACTGGAAAGAATTATTTCGTTAGCAAAACGGGACAATCTATAACATAACATCTTGCCCAATTTATATACCTTTCATGTCCATCGTCCATTTTCCGTATTTTTTGTATGGCTTGACAAGCATCAACGATCCAAGCTGGAGTACATGTATCCAGGGTATTGAACGGGATACTAACCTCAACTGACTGCTCAAGCAAGTCTACCTCATCCCGGTCTTCATCCTCATTCACCTCGTCTTCAGTGTCAAGCTCCTTGATGGATCTTCATGTAATCAGAATCAAATTAGATAGGTTTCATTAGAAAGGAAATATCATAATAAAATACACCTCTTTCTTTTTTGTCGTTCAGATTTGCCGATTTCGTCAACAATGGTCATCTTTACGTCCATCTAAAGATTGGAGAAAATCAAGCTGTGAGCTGACATTGCAGCAATACAACTATAACCTCAAAATGATTACCTTTGCTATCAGTTCACTAAGCGTCAAACCAACTTTGGACTTTGCGATCTCCTCACTTCTCTCCCATACGATTTTACTAATCTTTGAACTTTTCTTCTGAACGTTTAGTATGCATTGGTTTATGTACAGAAAAGAGCAAAAAACAACTAGTCAGGCGTGGGAGTACACGCGAAAGAGCACTTGAAATAAGTGGTACCGCCGCGCTTCTCCTCCCCATCAGGTAGGAATACACCCTAACCCTCCTCGAATACACCGAGGGGCATAGTACGTCCCAGTTCAACATGTATACGCGCGAAAGAGCACTTGAAACAAGTGGTACCGCCGCGCTTCTCTTCCCCATCAGGTAGGAATGCACCCTAACCCTCCTCGAATACACCGAGGGGCGTAATACATGGAACTTTGCCTGACTAGTAAAACCAACCTTAAGTTGTTTCCGCAAAGACTTAACTCTGTCTTTCACTTGTTGATTAGACACCGTATCAAGAACACCTAACTCTTTAGCCAGTGCAGTACGAGCTTGAGCACGGCGTTGATGCAAAAATGGATTTTTTTGAATCCAGAACATGTCGAATGACTCAACAGACCAATCGTTGACGTCGTTATTTGCCCAGTAGGCTGCAAACCAAAGTTAATGTGAAATGTCCAAAAAGCTAGAGGTCACAGCGAAAGTGATAATTGGTAACCCACCTTTGTAACGAATACCGTGTGGAAAGGAAATAGTCGTCGCCATCACAGGCTTCAGTGTATTTGCTCCTGGATAGCCTGCGAAACGCGTAGAATTTTGTCTCACAGATTCCGTGACACGTGATTTACTTGAAGCCAAGCCACTTCCTCGGTCCCAAATGGCGTTCAGCAAAAAAATTTTGACAGTGAAGCGTTCGACAACGGTTTAAAAATTGTGCATAATAATAATATTAATTGCTGATGTTTCATGCTAGGCCATATATCAGACATTATTTTTACCAAGAAAATTAATCTTTCAGTATTAAGTACAATTACAAATGCTACCCTATTTGCACCTTTTTTAGAGCTAGTCAATGTTCTAGGCTAAACTAAATCATGCCTTTTCTTCTTTCTGCATAAAAAGTTAAATGCAACTCTTTTTGTTGCAGGTAGAATTTGAACATTATTTACTGCCAAGAGCTTAACTTGTATGTAAAAACTTTGCAAAAATTGCATTTGATAAGCACCGCCATTATTATTTTTTTCCCGAGACTGTATTTTTACTGTCATATTACAATAGTTAACTATATACTGTATGCGATTTTATCGTCTGGTCTGCGTTTTTTGAAATTATAAAATTTGTTCAACAGCCAATATAATATATATACGAACTCATATTTTATCTTAATTGTTAATATTAAAATTAGCGTTTATTGTATTCGTAAGTTATTTTTACGCAGATTTCATTAGTTATCTAAGAAAGCTACTGGTCTAAAAAAGGGAGAAGGTAAAAACCATTAGAATAGATAAGTTGTTAGACTTAATTTATGCGACAATGTACTTTCCAAGAATTGAAAAACTCATTCTTGAGACAATCAATATCACCAACACTCTTAGTACGAAAACTGATAATGCTATATCTATGGTCGTGCGATAAAAGATAATTGAGAATGTAGAATTTATTGAGCTGCATATTAACATATTCTCGACATGGATTGCCAATTGCAACAAAATTTGAAAATTGTCTAAAAGATCCAGCAATTATCAAAGCTATACGAGTTGTTTGCAGTTCGAGAATACAGCTGAGGGTAAAACCTGAGCTAGGTGTTGGTACTAGGTAATGTTCTTGCCATTACAAGTTTATGATTGGCTTAAAGGTAAATCTACCCGTATGTCACCGTCTCTACATTAGTAATAACTTAACTAGAATCAGGACGGTCACAAACAAACACTTTTTAGACACAATACAGTAAGTACGAAGCAGTGTCGTTATTGAAAGCACTATATGCCACACTAAAGTAATAACCAAATACCAAAGCGAATGATTATTTGTCGAGTCACTTCCCGTTAAGGACCCCTTGATATTTCTGGATGTTGGTGTTTGAGATATATAAGACAATCTGGTTAGTCTGGTTTATGCTACGATTACTATGTAGTTATGGTAGATATTACTCAATTTATCGAGAGTAGTGTTACTTTAACGGGCACCAAATTCTCGCCAGGTGAGTAACAAGAGACATAATAACTGCAAACTGCGTCACAAAAATTTATTAATAAATAATATTAATACTGTCAATCAATTGACCTCGTCGTCAATACAAAGTGTAAACCGAAATGTTAAACCGGAATTTATATTTACTAATAACAAAATCCGATACATCTAAAATGAAGAAGGCTAAATAAACAATTACATGTATATTCTTTCCACCCTCGCACATGATTGAATAATAGACAGTAATCTTTCCAAGTCAATGTCAGCATTCATAATAATTATTACTTGTCCATGACTCGTCATCATGCTTGCGTTGTTTGAAAAGGTAGAAGTAGATTGCGTTTGACCTAATGTTTGGTAAATAAATGGAGAATAAACTGTATTACTTGAATTATAATTCATCGGAAGAACCGAGTTGTTGACTCGATTTTTATTGTTTTCAACGTATCCGTAGGGCGGGGTACAGAACGGTTCATTTTCGCTCGTGGAGATGTTATTATTGTCGAGAGGCCCGGTATCAGAAGGAAAGCAAACTTGACTGGGAGGTTGAAGATAGATGCCATTAGAGCCTCTACTAACTGGTGGGAGACTGTTTGCGTAATCCGGGTCTGTATAGTGCATCTGATCCCAAGGAAGACTGTAAGTATAATTAGAGTCCATATAATACCCCTGGTCAGATGGAATGCTGTATGTATAATTACTGTGAATCGATTGATTATTAACACCGGCCATATCTGTTATAAGAATGAGTTTAACGATAAAACGTAAACGGTGTTTTGGCGAGTAGGCGCTTTAGATACATTCCGGTTCTTATATGTCTATGTGAGTGTAGATTTTCTTAGGCAATGATACGTAATTATAAGATATATAATATATATATATATACTAATAAGGTTTATTGATTACCGACCAATCATATCACCATCCGATGGCATCATATGCACTGAGATTTTCCGATTTTCCTTGATAGTCCCATTTCTGTAAACTCTACACAAGAATATCCTTTCCTAATTGAGGTACCGTGAGATTGGATGCTATCTATTGAACTCCCGATCATCTCTATTTGCGCCCCAATTTCTTTCTCCATCGCTTTTGTCTGCTTTATCGAAGTGCGTGTCTTTGCTTCTGGCTTCACTGAAGGAATTAGCTCCTTGCTCACTTCACGCCGAACCCTGGTCCACCCCTTCTGGCGTTATGCACACGGCTTGTCCCTTACTTCAATAGAAAAGTTGCCTTTTGGAAGATCAATACTTTCTTTCCAATAACTCATTAACAACACCATTGCTCATGTCGCATGATATTAATAACATCGAGGGCAGGCACAGACTCGGTTCGAACTTACAATCTCATAGAAGTCTTAACGACGACAACTCTACTACTCAAACTTCCAATTGGCTCAAAGAACAAGAAGTAATTCCGTCGTTTAGTACATGGAATTCTTATCCCGAAGATCAAATTCTTCATCATAACCCGCCGCCCTCTTATGATAGACAAATTCATGCTCCCCTCGTTTTCAAGACTTTTAGTCCGCAAGGCGGTGAATCTTCTCGTTCAAACCCAAATTGTTCCAATTATCCTTCTTTATACAAATATTCACAACTTATCCAATCCGAAGACCAAGTCATCCGAGTCGTGGAAGTGCTTGGGAAAATCTTAGTGTCAAGGTTGACATCCAGTATGTGTGAACTACAATTTATCAACAATTGCACTTGATACTTGTATCGCATAGCGATAATTGCTTCGATCGCTTTGATGAGAGTCTCAAACCTGCTCTGTTATTTAATCGTTACATGATGTTGGTCTAATATTCGCAATTATTATTATAGACTATAAATGCGTGGGTATTATTATCCAATCATCAATACGTCACTGCCTGTCCCCATTCATGCCTTACAGATATCGATGACCTTATACTTCCGAACGATAAATTTCCGTCGTTCATGGAGGCATTATCGCGTAAATAATGGCGAAGCTGAGATACAGTTTTTATGACTGCCGGTTTAGGATCATTCAGCAGCTTGTTAAATTCGTCGAGAAATAACAGTTGCTCAAATGTTCTTCGAAATAGTCACAAAGGAACTACTATGCGATAACGCTGATGATGTGTTTGCCAAGCGTCGCATGGAAGGCTTTATGAACATTTCCCAAGACAATGACAACGTATTCATACATCAAATGACTAACAATACTGGCAATTACAACGTCTTGGAAGGATTTATCTGGTATTATCAACTAATTCACCCGCGGGGTGATTATTGTCACGATCTATCTATCACTCAGATTACGTTCACTTTCTATTCGCTTTGCGACGTCCACTTCCATCGAATCTATCCTATCAATGTTCTATACCAAATACTTCTTGAACGTTTTTGCAAAAGAACATCAAGAAGATCATGGCCTTATACACCGAGAGAAGTCATGAAATTTATGTGGGATCGAGCATTGTTCGGGAAAGGAATCGGAACTGAAGTCGACAAGCTGCTTGGATTCTATCCCCAAAATTGTCATGGACATGATCAGACTCACGATGGCTCATGCGGTCATCTACCTGATGTGCCTAGCGTCTTAGATCCATGCATAGGTATTGGTTCATTCCTCTGCGAGTTCATAATCGTCTTATTGTTGCAGCTCAGCAGACTCCTTCAATTTGGAACAACCCTAGGGCACTCGTTCATTTAATTCAGTCAATCGCTAATACTTAAGAAGATTTGGGGAATAGTTTTGTTACACATCATACCGTTGTACAAGCGTTTATTGTGGTTTCCCTCGTCAATACCCTTCAAATTACCAGCTATTCTGCAATGATACTCTGAATCTCTACCTTCCGAAGGCTGTGAATATAAATGCCTAAGCTTACTACGCTCGCCTCAGAAACTAAAGTTTGATTATATAGTCACTAACCCTACGTATATGATAAGAAAAACCGGCTTTATATCCGAGCCGGATAGTGAACTGTTTGATGAACGAATATTTGGTAAAGGTGGCATGCAAGCATATGCATATTTCTTCTGGTTCTGCGTCGAAAGATGTAAAGAAGAGGGCGGCTTAATAAGTGGTAAGCAAACTTTCTGTCACTTGTCTTGTATCATTGTTTCCTATTTTGAGAAACTTCCCGCTGGCATATAAAATGACATGCTCAAGTGAGTTCCTGACAATAGGGATATATGCTACGACTGCGGTCGACTATTCGGATACAATATATATATATATATGTATAGCTTCCGACTTCTGGATGTTCACCACTCCGTACATCCATATATTTGGGATCTATTTTTTGGTTTTTTTTATTTACCCTATTTTACTTATTTTGGCAACAGGGCCAATAAGCGAGCGCATCTAGGAGGCCATAAAATTCTTTCATATTTTGATGGACAAATTTATCCAATTGATGGCTTTAATTTAAATGGTTTATTTATTAAACACTTTATTCAAGGTTATATAGTACTTTATAAAACAAATCTATGTATCCATGTCAGATGGCCAATCTAACCAGATACTTACTCCTAATACTAATATTGTAGATAGCGAATTGGTTACAAGACATCTTGACGGTCACTTCAACCGTACGTAGACCAAGAACGAATAAAAGCACACTTTGCAAACTAGCAATCTCTGTCGTTGCATATTGATCTGTCTGTCTCTACTTGCGAAGCTCTAATGCACAATACTCTTTAATAATACCTCGGTTATTTTGGTGAGATTGAGAATCGAATTTATACAGCGTGTATAGAGCCGGTTGGTATGTATAATTGATGAGTCTGGTGAATTTGCTCATATATGCAAGAATCAGAATTCTTGTGTTTTGACTGATCGATCGGGTAATCTGATAATCCTCGCTCTTGACGTTTATCGTCGATAAGGTAATTGGACAGCTTACGAAGAAGCGCGCCTTGCGTGAAGAATTTATGAGTGTGTTCAGTCGATGTTTTCACTGACGTGAACGGAGACAAGTTATCCGATGATGGAGTTGGTTACCACATCTTGGTTTTCCGAGTGATCTTCTTATAGAACTTGTTCGTGTAAATTTGACGACGCACTACCAAGCATTAATTGCCATATAACGCTTTCAACGTCCGAAGCATCATATGCATCAAAGCTGTTAACATGCTTTTGCAAGTGTGTTTACAGGATACATTAAATGTAGAATCGGTGTCTTTAAATTTTTCTTTTATCGTTCCGTTGGATTATGAGTAGCCTCTAGGAGCTTGTAACTTTTTGAAAATACAATACATCATTCCATATGACTCTATATTGTGATTAGACCATGGTTGGGTTATGGAATTCCGGCAATCTTACTATCATCAGCTTCACATAAATCTCTGATTACATCTCTCGCTGGAGGTTTGTCCGTGAAGTCTACCTTAAATTACAGACCGTAAATTCACCTTATTCTTCGAATCCAACACCGAGTGTACAGACGTGGAACAAACAGTGATGTTAAACGTAGGTGCTTCTACCGTCGGTGCGATAAAATGTAAGTGGGAGCTAAGGGATGGTTTATTCTAAGAAATTTGGTAAAGTCGACAAAAGGCGGAGTGTAAAGAAAGTGCGAAAGATCTGGAGATGGACAATAGAATGACAGATGATGGGAAGCGAGCAGAAAACCCAAATAAAGCCTTATCGGCGATGCATTCAAACTCTACACCCTGACTAGCTCTTCTTCTCACACGCGGAGGAGTGAGAATCGAACATATGGTGAATGTGAAAAGTATTATGTGATTCCATGTCTCTTTCTGTCACTCCATCACTACTCCATTACCACCCTGCAATTGCTTCTTTCGTATGCGCTGAGTAAGACGACTGACTATACGCATGTCATAGATAGTTTGAACATGTGGCTATGGATTCTGAAGGCATTTTTAATATTCAAACAAGGGCAAATGTTCAAGATTCCGTCGTTAGTATTCTTTTCTTGGTCAACGAGCAGATCCCTGGGCAAGGTCACGCGATATTGAAATAGTTATTTTATACACGTTATTTTATAATCAATAAGATGTATTGTTAATAATATAAATTGTTGGTGTGTCACTATCTCTTAGTATGTGCTTATTGCCTATAATAGAAATCTTTTACAATGATGCATGCCTTTGATGTACAGTATAAGTACGTTAGTTATAGAATACATTGTAATAATATAACTTATTATTGTTTAACCCATTATAGTATAGTTATACAATGTATTATACTTTACTGTTACATATAATTTATTTATGACGGTCTATTGTAATAGTATATTTTATTTACGTTATAGACATTGTATTGTGTATAAAATACATTGTAAGATGACAAGTTTATATAAAGTCACTACGAAAGCAAGACACAGCAAAAGATACACTTGTTTGCCGTACTTGCCAACGACTATCTGACAAAAACTCATAGCATGTCCGCTCTTGTTCCAATCAAACCGGCTACCACTTTGTTCAATGATCAATCTCATACAGACCCATCTTCTACCAATACACCTGCCACTTCAATCTTCAATTATACTGATTCACTCAGTCTTTTTGAAATTGGTCTCTTGATCTACCCACCCTACGTTCTTACTGTCTGCCTTGACGTTCTTCTCGATCCTACATACAAAGGCCCTTGTTCTCAGAATCCGTGGATTCTTTTCCGTAGAGATTTCGAAAGCAGACTACGCTCACAATTCCCTGATAAATTATTTACCATTCACGAGGTCTCGAAGATTGCCGGTAATCAATGGAAGGTTCAACCTGACTTGGTCAAAGCGTACTTTGGCGTCCTTTCTAAATTGGCCCAAGAGCGACATAAGCGCGCGTTTCCCGGTTATGTTTACAAACCAAGAAGAATTATACAGAGAAAAAGGAATGGGGAATACTTATTCAGAAATACTGATAAATATACGTTGGTGAGTCGCCAAAATAATAGAATGTATGCGTACGGAACTGTCAGAGATACCAATACGTACAGTACTATTCAGAATGTAGATGGATGCTACCAAGCGAATGAGAGTAGCAGTTGTATTTTTAAGCAATTTATTAATCGTGAATTGTTATCCGTTATGGTAGTGTCATGTTGTAATCTTAATATGACAAATCGGTTTAGTTTGTTTAGTCTTCGTAGTTTTTATTATATCGCTTAATCCAATTTAGATAAAATTTATGAACTCGATTCTGAATACTATCGCATATATTTAAGTTGGGTAGCACTAATAAATTTAAACATGTATTTGAGGAAAGTTATTTATTCTGAAATGCTAAAATTAAGTATCAATAAAATTATTGTGCAGATAGTAAAAAAAAAAAGGAAACGAATCTTTGTAAATAGATTTCTTGTATAACTATTGGACAAAATTTTCCAACTCTCAACTATTTTGATAAGAGCGATCAGTTTAGGCTCGGGCGTAGAACATCGCTACAGGAAACTCTCTCTAATGTGCAGTGAGTGTTCAGTTCTGTGATGGGACGAAATGCAAGCTTTCTTTTGCACTCTATGTGAACGTTCTCCTGTAATCAAGCTAATTGTGTAAATACATGTAATAGCAGAAGTAAAGAAAATATTGAACCTATTTTGCATTAATATAAATTTAAGATATTAATATGAAGAGGTCACGTGTAAATAGATAATTGACGTCATAATAAGTAGTGGAAGACTTGTCCCTATTTAATTCCAAGCCAAAACAAGTATTAATTCTAGCTCTATGCTTATTAAAAAAAACTTATCGGTAATAGTTTACAAGCCTAAAAATGAATTTTTTGCACGTTTCAACCACCAATGTATCACCGTCTGTGTTATCATTAGTTTCATCAATAGATAATATCAACAGACTCCTTTGTCATATTCATTATCATTGCATCAACGTTCTTTTCAATCTCTTCCTGAAGATATCCCAAACATATAACACATTTAGTTTGCAAGCAATGATTATGATGACCATGCCCGCATGCCAAAATTTCGCCATCACATAAATGGGTCCGTATTACTTCATCGACACCGACAGTACATTTCGCCGACAATTAACTACCAAAAAAGGATAACTTCGAAATAATGTTGGTGAATATTAAATATTTGTCGGTGAAATGCAGCAGACATCCTGCTTCCTATGCCGTAGTCGTTATACCTATGCTTACCATTGTATTTAGCCCCTCATTACTCGTACCGGCCGAATCTAAATAATAACATGCAATCTGAAACTTAAATGCATTAATTTTAGTATTGTTTAATGATAACAAATAAAAATCATTAGTTTCTTCATACATCCATGGTTTGCAAGTTACGTTCCGATGGCCGAGCGGCTAAATAAAGCTGCATAAAAAATTGGTCTCCATGATTCTTCTCATTTCATCGAAATCGTAAATTGGATCTTTGTTTTGTATATATCCCTCTCGTAAAGTACTTTTGCGTTTGTTTATTACTTCTCTATGAACTGCATATAACAAGTGTTACATAAAACAACGGTTTCCTCCCATGATATCTGTTCTTTAGCTTCACTGCATTTGTTTCCCTTTACTTAACGAAATCGGGTCGCTTCAGTAGCTTCGCACTTTGTGCAATACTTCTTCTCCGGCATGTTAGACAAGTGTATAGTGCTCGAAGGGTTGTGGATTCAAGAAATATTAGTAAGATACTGTGCAAAAGCTTCAGAATTGTGAAATACGTTTCATAAGCAGGTCGTGGCTATGTAAGCTCATCGAAAAACTCCTCATATGGAATCTGAAATCAATATTACGATCGTATCGATTTATCTATGAGTTTGGGTTTCTTATAGAAAAGGTGGAAGGATATTTAACTGGCAATTGTACAATCAAGCCTTAGGGGGACGAATATTCGAACTTGGCGTGAGACACGTTTGTCAAGTTGTAATAGCAACGATTGTAAGTTAATTGTTAATTAATAAATTTATTCTTAGGATATAACCAACGCACTAACTCTTGGATAAATAAACATTTTCCCTACATCCAAGTAAGCCCAAAGGCATATGAGAAATAAATCGATATAACTGAAATAATTCCCCAAAAGTTACTAATACCAAAAAATGCGATATATAAAAAACGAAGAACAACCATATAATCTTTCTACCCTTCCAAATAATTGAATAATGGACAGCAGCCTTTCAACGTTAATATCTGCTTTCGTGACAATCACTACGCATCCATGACTCGTAGCGTTTGTCATCATGCCAGAATTATTGGAAAGGAAAGAAGTCGACGTTTGAACCAATGAATGGGGGACAGAATAATGGATAGCGGGTGGGTTGTCATTGGTCAAACCATCGTGAGTGACTCGATCTTCGTAACTCCAGGACAAATTTGGGATAAAATTGGTATAACTGGGTGGTTGGGGGAATGCTTGCCACCGTGGTTGCGACGACGGACTGCCAGGGTTTGACGCTTGACTGGGATGGCCGGAATAAATGTCATTGGAGTCCATACTAATCGGCGGTTCCATGCTTGCGTAACTGGTGTCCTCGTCCACACTATTGAATGGAATACTGTATGCATAACTTCCGTGAGTTGATTGATTATTAAAACCCGTCATATCAGACATTGTGGAGTGAGTATAAGGATAAGTGATAAAGAGCGCCTGACTTGGAGATTCGACAGATATACGAGGAGTTTCGATAATGTTTCGATGATGTTTCGATGATGTTTCGCACTTGATGAGATGGGTGTGTTAATACAACAAAAAAGCCACAACGTATTATTAAATATAAAATTTCACGGAGCAATTTTGTTAAATAACCGATATACTGCTCCATATGGGAATACACAATTCGAGTTTATATACCAAAATTAAATCTTCCAAGTCTGAAGTTCGGAGTAGCTCAGCGTAACACAATTCGGTTTTTATACAGTTTATACTACCCCACGGAGATTCCGGAGTAGCCTAGTGTAATACAATTCAGTTTTTATACAGTTTATACTACCACACGGAGAACCAATTGTGTATATTTAGAGCAACGACATTATATAACGGTCATGGGAAATGTGGTTCATATGGGAATCTGCAAATATACCCGTCGAAACGTAAATGAAAAAAATTCTTTCTCAGACATCTTGCAAGCGAAAGTGGTTGAGGTGAGCATCACGAAGTATATTTTCCCTTCATACTGTACACATTGTATATCACTATATCTCTGATATAAGAATTCTTTTCTCGTTCGTTTGAACTTTTTGTAATTCGTTTGAACTTTTTGTAAACCCTTGTATTCTCAAGATCTGTATAAGACGGCCTTTCAACTCTTATTGAAAGAGATATTGCTTCTATGCTAGTATACACAATATCACCATTGACAATTCTGCTGAACAACAGATTATATTTATTCTGTAGAAGTGCCACGTTCTTCCTTGTCTATACTCAGTCAAACGTTAGTTAATCTTGGGGGCTTTATTATTATCTGTGCTTCAGTCTCACATTACTGTATGAACAATTGTTAAATCCCAAAATTTGGTCAAGTACAAGTAACAAAGGAAGTGTTAAAGATGAATAGACATAGATCTAAAACATTTTGTAAATATTTTATCCCTTTTTGTTAGTCTATTGTCAACTATAGTCTTCTGAGATAATAACGATAATTGACTATTAATGTTGATATCAACATATAAAAAAGTGCAAAAATACGCTGGTAATCATGAATTATACAGTATTATCTGGAATAATTTTTATCGTTATCGTTATCAATCATTGTCATTATTGATAACGGTAATGATAACGAGGATCATATATTAATATGGACAGTTGCCATTTTAGACCACAAACAGGAATCTTAGTATTTTATGTACAGACGGAACAACAACTCTAAGAACTTTACTCAAAAGCTATAAGTACTTGGTTAGACTGGATATAACGATACTCCCGTTAGGTCACATTTTCATCGTTATAGCGAGTTATCGTTAATACCAGGAATTCTATTTATAGCGATAACATAATAATTACGAAAAAAATATCGTTATACAAGATATTCGGTTTTATTGAAAAAAAGATTCAGTGATACTACAAACTACATTCAGATAACAAAACCGTCTAGCATTGACTGTTTCTTATTATTGACGTGGTGCGTTAGCACTTGTTTTCGTAAGGAGCGTA